AGTATGACAAGAAACATATTTTTAAGAAAAAGCTTTTTTTAAGGTCATTCACCCGTATTAATTATACCAAATAAAATAGTCATCTCATAAGAAAGTTTATTGTATTCCTAAATTATTTAACTGTGCATTTTAGCAAAATGTTTCACGTTAAATTATTTATCTTTAACCCTTAAACCAAACAGTTATAAAATTTGTAATTGTTACTTGATTCTACGCAGATAAATAGTATGGAAAGTATTCTACAATCTCTCTCAAATCTATAACTTTAAAACACAATGACGAACAAGACTGTTACGCGGGGAAACAAGTTGAGCGCGGTACTACTAGGGACGTGGTGGTGATTGAACTCGGAACTTCTCGATTATGAGGCGAGCACTCTACCACTACACCACTATTGTACTACCATTGAATAACAACCTAGACGGGTATTATTCACGATTTTAGCGGTTTTAATGAATGTTTAGTACAATAACAATAAAATGTGACCTTAATTTAGTTTACTATTTCTTACTATGTAAATGTTTTAAATAAAAAAGACATTAAAAGAAACGACACACTTCATGCTACACTAAAATTTTATTTTGAAAATAAGATTAAAATATCCTTACACAATAATACAATATAAATATTACAATATAAATAGCAAAATAAAATAACATGATTTTTAAGTCCTTTTGAAAAAATTTAACTCGATTGAAACTTGGACATTTTCGGAAGAAATCCGATTTTTCCACATGTAATTACAAGCCTATATAGTATAGAAATATAGTATAATATAAATAGTATCATAAAATTGAAATGAATAAAAAAAACTTGCTTTTGAACCACAAGAGTACTTAATAAATGCATTGATCAATATATGTCATAAATTTGATTTACAAAATGAACTCAAATTGTGTGCCAAAAGGATTTGAATTTTTAAATCATATAAATGTTAAAAATGTTAAAACAGTCATGGTATCAACATGCCAGAATAGTCTATACTTTCACAATATTCTATAAAAAATTGATCAAATATCTCATAATTAAAAATTACATAGCCATATTTTTAATTACTACTTTTGGTGTAGTTGTAATAGTAGCTATAATTAACTGCAACCGCAACAAATATATGTAAATAAAGAGCTGACGTAATAACTGTACCTATTAACTATATCTTATATCAATAACCCTTGTTGATAAAATGAATAACTGATGACAAAAAAAAAAAAAACAACTACAAAGTGAGCAAAATAAATCATCATGCCAATAAAAAATAAGCAATAGTTTCGTATTTTAGCAAGTGCATAGAAAAAGTGTAAACTTAAGATAAAGATAGGAATAGAAAAATAAAAAACATATCTTCAGTGTTTGGTGAATACATGAAATGCAACAATATTTTCAACATCAATGAATCCACTTATAAAGTTAGTTACTATAATCAAAAGACAAATATTATTACTGTTTGACTATTATAGCTTGTAAAAAATATCTATGTTTATATAAAATTCTAAAAAATAAGGCCACAGACGTTACTACCTCACTAGCAAAAAGCAAACTTTGAAAAGCGTGGCACTGAATTTTAGCACATTTATCGGTTCCGTAAAACGTGGTTTCCAATAAAATAATGAGATGTTTGATAAAGTTGTTGGGAAATCGTTACTTACTCTTAAAGCAAAGATTATTTAGTTCAATAACAATAGTTAATTAATTATTTCAAAGTCAATTACCAATTAATAGAGAGGCTTTACGCCATTATCTACATCTTACAAAGTTTGATTTGAAACTAACTAATAAAAAGTTGCATCTGTAGTTTGCAAAAAAGTGAATATCTTTTCGAAAAGGGCAGGAATTCAAATAAAACAGAAAAAGAAATACTGTTAAAACGATACTGCATCTGATACATCTTAGAGCGAACTTGATAAAAAATGTAAAAAAAAAAAGTTATACTGCTCAACTTCTGAGTTTTACTAATAAGATATCTCTGTTTAATATTGCATCATCAAATGCAGAAGATTTGATAAGAAAAGACATTTCTTGTGACATCAATACTCTCGTGACATCAATAGTCAAATATCAGACTTAGATTTTGTTTCAGCGTCAATTAAAAAAGCAATTTTTGGGTTCATTAGATAAGAGTTATATATGAGAATAAAAAGAGTTATACTATGAGAATAAAAAGAGTTATGTACTATGAAGAATAAAAAGAAAGGATAGAAAATAAAAGCTTATGAAAAAGAGAAATCAAGAAAACAAAATAAAAAAAAAAGATAGAAAAAAGAATAGGCCTGGAAACTAGAAAAAACACTTGCAGAAATGATTTTTAAAACAGCTCCATCAAATTCAGATTGAATAAATGGTTTTGCAAAGTTAATTAAAGAACACTTTAATGAGAAGTTGCTATGGTGTTCCTGCAAACACCATATCTTAGAAATTATTTTATCTTCTGTTTTCAAAACAATCTCTAAATTAAGAGCCATTTAGACAATTAAAAAATAAACTCTAAACTTTTATTTAAGTCAGACCACTTAAAATAAAATAATAAAAATTGAGGAACCAAAAAGTTTATTAAAGACCAAACAAGCAAAAGTACTAAAATTTATTTGTCCACTTAACCGGAAGTCTAAAATATATTAAGAGATGATTCTCAAGAATGTTGACAACTTGCTTTGGAATTACTTAATGCATAACAAATAAATGTACAGTGGCGTAAACCTGGGGCTTTCTATCGTGCTAGATGGATGCATACAATTTTGTACACATAAAAAATGTTTGCTTTTGTTGAATTGGCAGAGTATGAGTTAAATTATATAGAGAAATTATCACTGTTTTGTAAATTTACAATGCTTTTTTATGTAAAAATGTGACTGACATGTACAAATACAATTGATGCATCATTTAACTTGGAATTCTACAAAGGAATGCTTATTTAAAAAAAAAAATTTAAGTGGTGTTGCTGTCGCTGCCCTCAAAATATTTAATCGGCATCTTTGTTATTTAACCGAAGAAATGTCTCTTCTCTCACTATTTTTGATAAAATCGCGATAAAGCTGAAATTACAAAAATAATTCTTAAAAATATAAAAGAAAACTAGGAACATGGTATAGGCATTTCACAATTTTCTCTTTTGAAACCAAGTACACGTTTAACTGATTTAGGATCAAAATCAAGTAACATTCTAAATAAACTTAGATATTTAAACAAAGATGGTGGTTGATTAGCCTAACACCCCAAAGGTTTGGAAATTTCTTTCAATACATGTTTGAGCATATTAAATCATTGAAATCTGTAAATGATACAGCAGAAGAAGCAGAAGATGCAAGAGTATGCAAAATTTATTACCAAATATGAAGAGTAAAAAAGATTTCTTTTACGTGCAGTAGAACACCACCGAAAAGTTTTTCCACAGATAAATAAACAAGCAATTCAAAAACTCAATTGTAAAAAATTATAACAACCTTTTTTTCATATTACTAATACCTTCCAAAGATTTTTATGTTGTTTTCATAATTTTTCAAAAAATTTTGAATTTCTTTGTATTTAGTTCTAGTTTAGTCCCAGTTAGTGTTAATATTTTCAATTTATACCATGTTTGTCATAAAAATAAATATTTCGAAATTATTTATCAAGTAAATCTTTTTTGTTTTAATTAAGAAATATATAATTCTAAAAATTTATTATTTTAGGCAAAAAAAAAAAAAAAAAAAATCATGATCAGGAGGGAAGGGGGGGGGGGAGGAAAGAGAGAGGGGTTCGTATTATGAAGAGAGAAGGGGGTTTAGTTGTCTTGGTGGGTGAAACTTCTTTTGAATAAATTTTCATTTGATTTTAGTATAAAAAACTATATATATAACTATTTGAAAATATGAACGTAGTTAAATATATTAATAGATATATGTAAGAAGTTTATTTGGAATTAATTTAGGAAAACCACATTAAAAAGAACTGTTGGGGGTTTTATATGAAATTTTTTTAAAAATAACATGTCAATAGGTTTTATCAAACTAAAATAAATAAGAAAATTGTGAACATTTTGATTATCAAAAATGTTTTTAGTCCTTATTGTCATAAATTAAGAAAAAATGACACTTGAAAAGAGTGGCTGTTTGTAAAAAATAAAAAATTAATGTTATTTTTTTTTTTTTAGTTATTTATCTTATTAAATGCCCATCTGCGGTGCTCTGTGATAAGACCGTAAGGACTTCTTAGGGCACCTAGATAAGATTAAAAGTATGTATATTTTATATATATATATATATATATATATATATATATATATATATACATATATATATATATATATGTATATATATATATATATATATATATATATATATATATATATATATATATATATATATATATATATATGTATATATATATATATATATATATATATATATATATATATATATATATATATATATATATATATATATATATATATATATATTCAAATTTGTTAAAAAATTTTTTAAACATGATGAGTATTTTTATGGCCGATATGTCTGTTTCCCAATCAGTAAAACAAAGTTTTTGGTTCCTACTTTATAAATGTTTTATTCATTTTTTTTTTAGGAAAACACGCTGCAGTATAAAGTTTTTTTCAAAATTTTGTTGATCATCATAAAAAAAGCTAAATTGTAACAAATACAATTATCATAAAAAAAGCTTATTTTCAACTACTTTCTCCAAAAAACCAAACCGTTAGTTGAACCCTTTGAAGAAAGACGAAATACTTAAAAAATCATATTTATCAGGAAAAAACTGATTCATGAGTTTCATCCGTTGCAAATAGTTATACAAACAAAAACAAAAAAAGCAAAAATGAAAAAGTGCTACATGAAAATATTAAAGAAATTAAATATCATTGGAATGGCTAATGTTGGATTTCAGAATAACCACTTTAAGAGTTTAAAATCTTAATTTTTTTGCCGTCTTTTTTGACTTGCCTGCATCAATTCTTTGAACCATTTGTTATATATTTTATATTTATTTATATTTATCACTTCATTATATACAGCATTAAAAGTTAACATTTTCATTAACAAATGAGTTAAGGGACATTTAGAACAAAAAATATAAACAAATTTAAAGACCACTTTAAATATAAAAAGTTTTTAAAACTAATATAGTCTTTTAAAAGCATTTTAACTATTACAAAATAAAATATACTTGCGTTTAAAAAACTTGATTAAACAAGCAAACTCACTTAAACAACACATACACAATCATCTGATTTAAATTCATAAAAAGGTTTTCAAAAAATATTTACATATTTTAATAAAAATAATAGTCTGTATCACATATTACATATTATTGAGCACATTTAAGCTGAAGTCTTTAGTTTAAACTTTTAGATTATTACAAAACTGACATAAATCGAAACAAAAATAAGAAAAAAGCAAAACAATTCTAAAATTGAACCAGTGATTGTCAGGTCGTCTAAAAACAGTAAAAAAAAAAAAAAAAAAAAAAAAAAAAAGATTTTAAAGCATGGTGCCGTTAGGGTAGCGCAAAAAGAGTTAACTTGGTTAATTCACAAAATATTCTATAAGAAAAATAAAAAAATTAAGAGTCTTTTCCACGTTCGTGCCTCCTTTTGTGATTCCAATAATGTCTTTGTTGTTTTAAAAATAGGAGCTCTAAACCTGACTTTAACTCTGAATCTGGTAAAAGTTGATCTTCTACTAGTTCTTCATCGCATTCAAAATCAGACCAATGGTCTTCGTTATCAGTATAAACTGAAACGCTACCGTGTTCGCTCTCACTGTCATCATCTTTTTGATTAGGTCGGTGAGTTGACTCACTTTTTTCTATTTCAATTATCGGTTTGACATCCGGAGATAAATGTTCTTGACATACATTTTTTGTTGGTATATTACTTTCTTTAACAACAACAATACGAACTATAATTATTATCGTTATACCAAGAACTAAGCTTCCAAGGACTATTCCAATTATCACAGCAAATGGACTTGTTTTACCACTTACTGGTACCTAAAAATTTATAAAAATAATTTTTTATAAATTTTTTTTAAAAACGAGAATTTATTATTTTAAAAACGAGAAACCAATATAATTCTTAATTATTTGGAATTCCTTTAAGAAAAATGAGCACCTGTGTCGCGTGAGTTTAAACTTTTTTTGTTTAATAAAGTTAAAGTTTTAGCAAAGTATAACCATACAAAAAAAAAAGAATTTACTCATGTCACAACATCTCGCTTGATTTAAGAAATTTAATTTATTTATAACGGAAAAAAAATATATATAAAAAAAAAATAAATTACCTTAATTGTTTTGATAATGGTTTTAGTTCGTTCCTTTTTTGCAGAGCTATCCTCTTCTCCACCTGTGGCTTTTAAAAATGCTTTCATCATTTCTTCACTTTGTCGCACAGTTTCCTGATCAAGTTCTGCACTATTTCGAGAGTCTTCTTCTTCCAGATTAGCAAGAAGGGATGGTTCAGCATTGTATGAAACAACTAAAAAAAATTATTGCAATATTTATATTTTACAGTGTTTTTTTTTTGTGATAAATATATTTTAAATTTCAAAACGTATTATAAAAAATCAAAAATATTTTTATGTAATTAAAGTGTTTCAAAGACAACAGGTAGTTTTTTTAACTTATTTTTCTATTATCTCTGTAATTTTAGCAATAAACTCAATAAATTAGCTAAAATCTAATTATTAATATACTAAAACCTAATTATAAATAAACTAACATTTAATTATAATTAGATTATTAACTCTGCTAGTAGTTGCATCCCTTACTTAGCTTAGAGAAAGTGAATGATTGTAGTTAAAATCCTAGCAACAATTAAAAATCTTCCACTTATTCAAAAATGAATAATAGGTAATAAGCTTACCACGTTTACTTGGTTCATAATAACATAAAAACAACATGTGGTCTTTTTGAAATTTGTGTATTCCATAAGGATAAAATCCTGACTCGTAGTCTGTGTTTCCATGATCTTCATCATCAAACTTAATAAACTCACTTGTTGACTTCATGTTTAAAACCTTAAAATATAAATTTACAATCAATATAAAATATAAATTTACAATCAATTTTTATTCAGAGGAGAGTGGGGGAGCATGATACACGGTGTACCATAAAATAAAGTGATTTTTTATATAGGCATATAAAAGTATTGTGAAAAATCCTTCTGATGTGTCATCAGTTTCAACTAGATGTATTGTTTAACTTAATGCAAAACATGTCGATATGTGAGAGGGGCATATTCATGTTTTACTGTTAAAAAGTAAATTATTAATTTTAAGAGTTGTTGAGTTTTACAGTATATTATTTAATCTATCATTTGGTAAGTACCAATTCTTAAAGTACTTTTAACTATTTTAAGTACTATTGAACTACACACCACGAGTTTTTCAATGTAATATATGAGTGCTTCAGTGTAATAAACATTCAATGTTTTTATATTTTAAAAAGCAAAAACCAGCCATCTTTTCTATCAAAATGCATGGATTATCAGAATACAATTTTTATGGGGCACTATGAAACTGTATTATGGTACCTCAATGTACTGTTTTGTAAAAACTATATTTATAGTCAAGCATACTTTAATTAAAGCGCATTGGAGAGTGTGCAAATATATTGATCTACTGTTACTTGATAACAAATTTATCTGATAAAATTAATTTTGTATCATAAAAAAAAGCTACTTAAGTTTACATAAACATTTACTTCACTTTAGCATACAAATAACAAGATTTATGTGCAGTTGGAGGTAGCAGTTGATGTGATTTTATGCTCTTTTACATGGCATTAAACTTAATTTAGATTTTTTACTTAAGTAAAGGCTCTGATCTTTTTTGAAACTTTTGCTCTTTTTTGGAAGGAATCAAATAAGCATAACTTTTGATTACTGCATTTGCATCAAATTTGATACAACAGGCTTTTTAGTATAAAGCTTTGTTAAAAGATCTTTATTTATCTATTCTTACAAGTTTTTACATTTTTCTAGAGGAATAGATTAATAAAAACAACTGAAATTGATATTTTAAACTATGTATTTGATGGGAAAAATGATTTTGAGGAAACATTTAAAAGTGCTAATAAGTTTTATATTGGAAACATTACTGCTAAAACTGCTATTGAAGAAAAAAGTGTGAATCAATATGACCTTCAAGAATATATGATTTTAGCAAATATAACATCAAGACCATCTGAAAATCTAAGAGACAGCTAATAACGCCAATAAGTATAAAGCAATTATTTACAGTTAAAAGAGTTTGAACATCTCAATGGCATAACCTTCAAAGATCCTGAAATAAGACCTAAACCAGATATGGAAACAATGTCCTACGATTGTTTTAAACTGTTTTAAGTAATGAGATGTTAAACAGTATCACAACTTTTTTTAAATGTCAACTCAACTTTAATTGTTTTTTAGTAATTTATTGTTAATTTAATTCCCTAAGGCCATGAAGGCCACTACAGTTGAGGGGGCTACTTTTATTGTAGTTAAAATCCTCTCTCAACTCTATAACTCCAAAACACAAACCTTGACAAATAAGGTTGCGGAAAAACAAAATTGAGTGCGGTACTACCAAGGATTGAACTCTGAACTTCTCCCCTATGGGGCAAGCACTCTACCATTACTGCATAATAAATGAAAGCAATATTTTTATTGTGCAATCAAAAGGTTCAGCAAAAAACATATCAAGAAAGAATATTGAGAAGCTTATAGGTGCCTATCTCAGAATGGGAAAAGTCAAAGGTCATATTAGGAAACATATATGACCTACGATGGAGTTTTTTTTACACTGCATGACAAAATGATAAGACACCTCAAAAATATTTATAAAACTCTACTATACATTCATATTTAAAAACTAATTTGTATTGTAAATAAAAGCAAAGGGTTTACACTAAACAACATTTAAAAAAAATTTATTTTAAACGTAACTCGCATTTTATTAAAAAAATTTTTTTTTTTTAGTGTGACAAAATTATAAGACACTTTTACAAAAAACCTTTTATTTACAAACCGCAGTTTTGGGCAATTATGAATATTTATTTGATAAAAACACCACAGATGATTATTCAACTATAAACTGTTGTGAGCTGTCAAAAATTTAATTTAGATTTTTTTATTAAGTATAAAACAACAAATTAATTAATAATGGGTCGTGCTGCATTGTTGAGTTCAAATGAGAAAAAAGTTCTCTCTAACTTATCAAAAATGGGCCATTTTGTTAGTTACATGGATAGAGCAATTGGATGCTGCCAAACTGTAATTAGAAGCGTTAATAGTTCAATGTTAATAGTCCTCATATGAATGGAATAAAAAAAAGTCCTGGACATCCATCAACATTAAGTTACCGTGATAGGCAAAAGTTGCTGAGACAAGCTTTATGTTCTTTATTAACTGGATGTTAAATTGCTGCAGAAGCAGGATTGATTGCTAATTTACATACAGTTCAGCAAGTAATTCATAATACTTTTTACCTTTCACACAAAAAACCTCAGCGAAAACCACCTTTGACAACAAAACACATAAATGATCTTTCTTGTACTTTCTGACAAAAAATGAGTTTGTCTTGATGGGCCAGATAGAATTTCTATTTTCACAATTCGGGTAAAGACAGCAACGACATCAAATGGGTGGTAGAGGTGTAATGAATAATGCAAATTTCTGATTTATCATAATAAATCAGAAATTTATTTTATTGACAAAAAAATGAAGGCCAAGCATTACCTTTTAATAATTTTTTTAATTCAATAATTTTTACGACGTAAAGCATCTGTCATTGGTGGTGAGAACTTTGTTTTTCAGCAAGATATTGCTAGCATTCATATAGTTAAGATGTATAGGATTATTTCAGCAACAGTAAAATTGAAACATTGAAATGGCCGACTATATCCCCAGACCTGAATATTATTGAGAATGCTTGAGAACAACTGTCACATATATTGGTAAACAATATAGTTCACTAGCTGACTTGAAATCATCCATCGCATCTACATGGGATGCAATTGACATTTTGTACATAAAAAAGTTGTATGATTCTTTACCTTCTGATTGAAATGATTCAAATAAATTCAAATAAAACTTTACCTTTTAGAGTGATTCAAAAAAATGGTAGAAGCACCAATCATTGATTTTTTAAAATGAGACATTTTTTTATATAAAAGACAATTTATATAAATTTTTTCTAAAAAAAGTGTCAATTTTTTCACATTAACAAATCAGTTTTTTTTTAATAAAATGCAAGTTATGTTTAAAATAAATTTTTTAAAATCTTTTTTAGTTTTGTAAACCCTTTGCTCTCATTTATTATAAAAATTAGTTTTTAAATAATTATGTGGATTTAAAATCTAACTTTAAAAACTTAGTTATAAACCCATGCCATGCGCTCATCTTATTTCTCCTCACAGCGGCCTTGTTTGTCAAGGTTTTGTGCTTCGGAATTATAGAGTTGAGAGAGGATTGTAATCACAACTAAAGAAGCTTCCTCAACTGTAGTGGCCTTCATGGCCTTGAGGAGGTGAATTGAAATAAAAAAATAAATGTATAGTAGAATTTTATAAATAATTTTAGGGTGTCTTATCATTTTGCCACACAGTGTATTATTATTATATTTTATAATTTTTTATTATTATATTGTCAGGTCAGGTTATCCTGCTACTAGTAACATGTAAGCCAGTACAGCCTGTTTCATGTATTGCTGACTTGTAGGATTCGCTTTTTTATGCAAATTCTAGAATATACCAACTCTGACTTAACATACTCCCTGCCTTGGGGCTCTTGGTTGAGTAAAGGCTAGAGATGGTATCTCAATAAAAACACTCATTTATGCAGATATTAAATGTATTCCAGCTATTTTCTTTTAGAAGTCCTCCTAGGCAAAGACTTAAAGGGTAAACAGATTCTACCTTTTGACCAGCTTCTCACCCCTTTTTCATCTATTAGGATGGCATAGATGTATTTATAATACATTGTTTCCAGTTTAGGATGTTGAATGCTGGATCTTGACTCATTGCATGGGTTTTGTTTGTGTCTCTGTTTTTATGACTAGGCAACTCATTCTACTATTTTCTAATGAGGGTACAGCTCTAAAACTCAGTTTTATGGTTTTGAGGCCGGCTGGTAGTTAGGTTTTTCTGGAATCTGTAGTAGCTCTCAGAGAAGCTGATTCCATTAACAGCTGTAAAGTATCAGAGTACTAACAGTGCCATGCTGCGCATGGTTGGTGTTTCTATTTGCACTTTTGATGTGCATTGTGGAAACTACATTTAGAACTATTTGTTATGGCTTAGAATTTATTAGTAGTAATGAGGCAAATACTTAGACTGTTAGGAGTGTACTAACTATTATCTGTGTTTTGAATCAAGTTCATTAACTAATCTAAAAAATAAAGGATCAAAAACTGTCAAACAAAAAAAACCATTATCATGTTCTCTATATCTATTATTCACTAATATTCGTGGACTTCCAAATAACTTTTCTTCTGTTGAGTCTATCTTTTGCAAAGTTCACTGGACCTGCTTGCTCTTTGTGAGGCTAATTTGAATTCAGCTGTCTCAACTTGTAATTTTAGTGTTGATAGTTATCTTCCTTTAGTTCATAAAAATTTGTAAAAATTTACCCATTTTTCAGGAAACTAAATTTGAATGACAGAATATTCTTTTATGTGCTTCCATTTAGTACCACTTCCCTCTACCACCTTTCTCTTTGTTCTTTATCACTCTCCTTCATCTCAAGACTGTCCTCTTTTGATAATCTTTCTGATCAAATTCACCAAGCTCTTTCTCTTTATTCTTCAACCAACATTGTTGTTGTTGGTAACTTTAATGCTTATCAGACTAAATAGCTTGGCTCTAGTGTCAATGACTCTGCAGGCATTAAGACCCACAACTTTTGCCTTTCTCAATCTTTAACACAATTAGTCAACTTTTCAACTGGCTTTCCAGACAATCCGAGCCATTTGCCTTCTCTACTCACCTTATGTCTTGCTTTTGATCTTAGTCAGTGCTCAATTGGTCTATATTGACCCTTAGGTGCTTCTGATCATGGCTTGATCTCTCTAAAGCTATTATCATATTGTTCTTCATCATCAGAATCTCCCTATATTTGTACCTCTTACACCTACTTTGAAGCTGACTGGGACTCTTCCATGTTTTTCTTAGTGGCCCTTAGGTAGAAATCTTTCATTTTCCTGCTTACAATTGTGCTTTTTTTGCAACTTCTTGGATTCAGGCTGACATGGAATCTTTTATTACCTCTAGACAATTCCAAGTTAAGTCTCAGTCTTCTCCATGGTTTTCATCTAATTGTGCTGCTGCAATTTTCAATCGTAACCGTTACTTCTATATCTATCACCAAAAGATTCTCTAGAAAACATGAGCCTTTTTACTATTGCTAGCAACCATTGTAAAAAAAGTTTGTCTAATGCCAAAGCCGGCCATTCTCTGGTACAAAATCTCGTATTTCATCTCAAAAATTAGGCTTCAGAGACTTCTGGAGAATCTTTAACAGTGTTTATAATAAGGACAAATCTGTTGTTGCTCCTCTTTTTGTAAGGTAACAATCTGAATGTGGTTCAGATTGTTACCTTACCTAAAGACAAAGATGAATTACTTGCTCATCAATAACATCTCTTTACAGTAACAATATCCCAGAAATTCTTACATCTAAGGTGGCATTATTCACTGATGAAACTATCACTTGTTCTTGTCTTGATAAGAAGCCAACACTCTCTGATTGTTTGAAGGGGGTATTTGAGCTTGAGAAAGATCTCACTTCTAATACTCCCAAGGCTATCCATACAATTTACAGTAACAATATCCCAGAAATTCTTACATCTAAGGTGGAATCATTCACTGATGAAACTACCACTTGTTCTTGTCTTGATAAGAAGCCAACACTCTCTGATTGTTTGAAGGGGGTATTTGAGCTTGAAAAGGATCTCACTTCTGCTACTCCCAAGGATAAGGCAAAAACATTTTTCTAATTTGGTTTTTTCTAAACCTAATGGTCATATACTTCCTGCCATTTCAGTTAAACAGGTTAACCCATTATTAGATAACCAAATCACTCCAGCTTCCATTACTACAGCCGTTTTTTAATTAAACTCTTCTATGACTTGTAGTCCAGAAAACTTTCCTGTCATAGTCTTACAAAAGTGAAAAATTCTTGTACTAGATAGAAAAATTATATTGTGCATTAGAATGCAAAGTTAACATCTGCTAAAGTTACTATGTTTACAATGCACTTTTGGATCATTAAAAAAACCAGTCCAAATATGATAATGTATTCTATACAGAGACGAATAAGAGATTTGAAGAGGTAGAGAAGGGAATCAGTAGTAAAATAATGGCGAGCATGATAAAGAGAAGCCTTTATCTGCTTCTTTTTATCATGCTCACCATTATTTTACTACTGATTCTATTCTCTACCTCTTCAAATCTCTTATTTGTCTCTGTATAGAATACTATTACCATATTTGGACTGGTTCTTTTAATGATCCAAAAGTGCATTGTAAACACAGTAAGACTTGCTTTATCTGTCAAGCTTGAGCCTTTCTCTCATCTTCATAAAGTTGCATCTCTTTCTCTTTTCTAAAAATACTATCATGGTTGCTGCTCAAAAGAGCTATCATCTCTAGTTCCATCAACCAAAACTCATTCTTGCTTGACTTGTTGCATCCTTTTACTGTATCTGTCCCTGCATGCGCTAAAAACTTTTATTTGTCTAGTTTTTTTGCAGCAATAGTAATAGCTGTAAAACAACAATTATAATAATATTAATATTAATAACTTCAATGCTATGGAACTTTCTCTTTTTTTCAAAAAAAATACATTATTAATAATAATAATACCTGTAAACAGCAATAATGTATTAATAATAATATTAATAAAAATAATATTTATAATAATACATAATCAATGTAACAGAATATTTACTTTATTTTTAAAATGAATATAATTTTAAAAAGTAAAAGCTTACCCTTTGACATTTGATTGATTCGTATGCAAATAGAAAAAATGGTTTTTTAGCTGGTAAAGAAATTTGAGTTTCTGTGTTTCCAGCAGTACTGCAACAAAAGTATATTTTAGTATCATCTGTGTACTGTCCTTCAGGCAATGCACCACCTTTATCATTTTGGTTATCAGTATTCTCATCATCCCAAATGACAAAACCTTCTTTAAGGTTTAAGGGGCAGGATGGTCCCCTTTTGTAAATGCAATACTTTCCATTTGGCCAGCTAAAAAAAATATTAAGAAAAATGCTAAAAAAAATTTGAGAAAAATTATAAAAAAAGGAACAAAATAACAAGATTGCATATATTTAGAAAGATGTTGATTGGTCAAATTATGCATGCAATTTTAAATTGAGTCAATGATTGTAAGTTATTTTTATGGATTGGTATTTACTAACAGTTTTTAACATTTTTACTTTCCTTTTAATCATTTTACCTGGAAATAATTAATAACAAATACTCACTTCCCCTCTCCTTCAGGTTCATCTTTAATACAAAACTCATGACTTATCCCATCTTCAGAGAAGTTAGCAGCTAAATGAAAAAAATCAGATCGTTGATTTTCTGTACCATCATCTTCTGTATCGTGATAACGAAAGCCTGTTTTCCATTTAAAACCATAAGTATTAGGACAACCATACGTAGACTTTGGAAGTCCATAGGTTCCCTTCGGCCAAGTACTCACTAAATATAAAGAAACAACCTTAAACAAAATATTCTCTTTACAAAAAATGCCATTCGTGTAAAACTTCAAGTAAAAATATAATATTCAAACTTTGATTTGCTATCATAGTTTCATTTAAAAAATAATTATTTAGTAGATTACATTCAAAAAAATATGGCACTTACATCTACACAAGCAAAAAAATAGTCAGCGTTAAAAAAAACACTTTGAAACAATTTTTTTTAAACATAACTTAAAAGTTAAATAAAACAGTTATAAAAAAGGTTAAATAAAATAGCTAGAATAAATATTTTATTAAACAAAATAAATTGATTTGTAGTAAAAAATAAAAAATAGTATTTTGTGTTATTTAAATACTGAGACACAACATAATATATGGGAGAAATTACTCAATTTTATAAAAGTATGTAGAAAGATAATACAAATGAAAAAATTGTACCTTAAACACCTTTATGTTCATTTAAAATTAAAAAAAAACAAACAAAAAATACACAGAGAACACCAAGAAAAAAATTATTTAAATATATGTTGATATAAACTTGTGTTTTATGTTAACAAATTTATAAAAAATTAAAGATACTACTTTATATTTTAGTTTCTTTATACATAAAGTTAAATATTAAAATATCTAAATTTGTAATATTTGACAAAAACCCTATAAGTCTAACTCTGCCCCAAACCCAATTTATGTGCGTTTCTTTACAATTCTCCCTATTATCAGATGAAGCACATACTACTTTTTTTTTTTGCATAGAAGTTACTCAAGGGAAAAGCTTAAAAGAAAAATAAAATCAATTTCCTTTTGGGAAAATTTATATACATATATTTTTTAAAAAATTGTCATAAAAAATAGTGTGTTATATAAATAAAATTTATATAAAAAATAGCGTGTTATATAAATAAAGACGAAAAGAAAACAAAGAATTTTTATTTTTGTGCATAGTCTAATTTTAAAAGAATAGGAATAAAATTCTGAAAATTACCTTCTGTTATGGGGCTATCTTCTTCCTCACCACTGGCACTACCTTCATTTATGGTTTTTTCTGTTGGTACAACATGTGAAGAAATTTTAACCAAAGACATTTCTTTCTCTTCTCTACTATTTACATTTTCTTCACTTTGGTGTGAATTTCTACCGTGAGGAACTTTTGTTACCTCATCTTCGTCATTTTTTTTTTTTGTTAAAGTTACTCTTTGTTCAACAAATATTGTCTTTGTATAATTTTCAGGAACTTTTTCATTTAAACTACGAGTAGCTTTTTTACTAATACTATTCTCTAAAGTTTGTGCATTTTTTATAATTTCTGCAAAACCCTTGTCAGGATCTTCCCCAAATTCATCATTACGAAAATGAAATCCTGACTGAAGTCCGACATCAGACCTTCCTTTATCAGATGTAATTCTTTTATGGCGAACAGGTGATTTATTGTCTTGATAAGTATTTGAAAAGTAACTCAGTAATGATGTTATTACACTACCTGTAAAAATTAATGTTAACAGTTCTTAAAATCCCAAAATAACACGTCCAACTAAAAGTTGAAAATTTTTAACCCAACTTGTAAAATTTAAACAATTTAGCTACACAAAGTAAATATAAACTTCTAAATGTGTTACTTAACAAAAAGCTTTTTGGTGGATTTAAATCTGTTATGGATATAAATATTTATTGTATTAATATATTCTGCACATTTATACAAATACTAAAACTTGAATTTTTTAAAAGCCTGCCTTTAATCCAGACACTATAAAAATATATGAAATATATAGAGTTGTTAATACTCACCTTGAACGAGAGCACATGATAACATAAACAAAATTATTAATTTAACCATTTTCAATGAAACACATCTTCGATTGTCTAAGAATAAAGTAAAGAATACATTTAAAGAAATGTTTGCAATCCCCAAACAGTACTGCTAAAAAAAAAAAGTGAACTATGTTGTAATTCACATTGGTACTTATATTGACATAAACACCATAGGTATTTTAGATTGATAAACATCATAGGTGTTTTATATTTTTAGAATGCTAAACATTTGTTAATATACTTATTGACCAGCAGTCAAATTTGTTATAAAATTTGTATTTTTTGTTTTTAAACTATGTTTAGTTGCCTTTTTTTTCCTTTGTAATTTCCATATTTGATATAAACTATGATTAACAGTTCAACTTTTTTTTATCTAGTTGAGCTAAATCTAAAACTTCAGAACATGACAAGAAATTATTGATCTTGAAATAAATTTCTTTTTGCTTAATCTGGACTACATATTTACCTAAAAGAAGTATTTGTAACAATTTTGTAGAAATGTTGTAAACAATAAACAATTGAACAAAGTACATAATAAAATTTAATTCCTATAAGATATAAAAAAATTTATTGGAAACAATAAAATATTAACTTTTTCTTGTTAAAAAAAAAAATTAAATTAAATATGCAAGCAAACACTATTAGAGTTGGAAGTTACTTAAAGAGAAAAGATGAAGTTTGTAAAGCAAGATAATGATTACCAGACAACTTAAAAGATTGCAAATTATATGAATCAGGAAAACAAAACCAAGAGAGAGAATTCCAAAGAACTGATGTTCAAGGAAAAAACTAGACAAAAGAGTTTTTCGAGCACTTAAGAACAGTCAAAGTAAAAAAGTGAGACTTAATTCAATGAGGAGTAACATAAAAATGAATTTTAGTAGATGGCACAAGAGACGCTAACTCTTTAGAGCAGTACCCATTATAGTATTTGTATAGAAGAAAGAAAAGCAACACTAAAATAATGTGACTATGGTTTAAGGTTGGCTGTAAGAGCAGGTCTAACTATGTTTACAAAGCATTTTTGCACTTTGTTTAAAATAGAAAGGGCATCATTTGAAGATCTGCTCCAGATATGGCAACAGTAATCCATATAAGGACGGATTTATATAAGATAGAGATTTATAGAGATAAAGAATAGAATCTGGAGTAAGAAAGTGGCGAGCACAATAAAGAGGTGCAACCTTAGCAGATACTAATTTTGCAATGGATTAGATATATGGTTTCCAAGACAGATCAGAAGTAAGAGTTTATCCTAGGAGACGATGGGTAGATGACTTATTTAAAGTCTTTTACTTCTCATCAACCTCTGGTTTTGTTTAATTCTACAACTCTTTTTTCTTTATTAAAAATTATCTAATAACATCTATAAAAACTCTGATATTTCAATATTAGCAATTTAGCTAAGAAATGTTTAAACAAAACCAGAAATAATTGAATGCCCTATTAACATTGCTTTAGGATACAATTATGACAATTTCTAAACATTCCAACTTATCATCTAGTAATTTGAAAGTACATTTCCAATTAATATTTATTTTAGTTCATAGAATTAAACAAATAAAACAGTATAATATAGTAATAGTATACACTAGACAGTGTGTATCGTAAATCGTTTTGAAAAAGAGGTTATATTTAGTCTTCACTTGTCTACAATAAAATAATTTAGGATCATTTTATGTTTAGTAAACCGTGTTCATCTTTAAAACAAGCAGCTCATAAGAGTTAACTTCCCTAACAATGATGAAAAGTTCAATTAAAATTATTATTTATAAACCATCAGAAATTGACAGAACTATCAAAAAAAATACAGTGAGAATGTAAAAAACCAAATTAATGCTTTTACCTAAAGAATGAAAAAAACTCTTAAATGTAAAACTTTTTCAAAAAAAGCTTTTATTAATATTTTTAAAAGAATTTCATTTAGAATTTTAAAAAAATTTATTGATTTCAAATTTAGGTTTTCTAAGCTTTGTGAACTTGGACTAAAGTTTTTATTTGAGTCCAATCCTGTTGGAGGTGCTCTAGGTCTCCACTCAGTAATTTGTGAGTGCTAACAAAATGCAAAACCTTAAGCATTAAAAATATTTCAAACTATGAAAATCTTAAGCCATTTGTCATAGTATGAGAATCAACAAATGCACTGTTTTGATAACTGACCAGATATAAAAGCACTGAAAAAGCTACTACTTCAGTTGATAAGCACAACAAGCAACACACTTTTTATGAGAAAAATACTTCCTGTGACTCTTGTGTATGATTTTAGTAAAAAACTTGTCAATAAATAGGCTAAACAAAAAATCTATAAATATATAATCAAAAATCAGGCAGTATATTTGCAACAAGTCAAAACTACCATGTAGTCATATTTTAATATTATAATAAAAAAACTAATCAAAGATTAATCAATTTTAGTTGAAAAAACTTATTTTAGCTTATGTTGCAACATTAACGGGCTGTTTGTTATCTGATTTCATGGCTTTCACTCGATGCAGCAACACTCCCTGCATCTACCTATTAAGTCAGTCAGTGTATGTGTACTTCCTGCATATTCTACCTATTTAAGTCAGTTATTGCATGCACACTCTATGCATGTTCTACCTAATAAAGTCAGTTGATGTATGTCTGCATGTTCTACTTGTTTAAGTTGATGGGTGTATGTACACTCTGCTGCGATAATTCCTAAATAAATCATTCAATAAAACAAAAATAAAAAAAACAATCAAATAAAACAATCAATAAAAACAGTGGAAATATATATATATAATACGTTTATGCTACCTAAATAAGCATATCTAAATGGAAATGACTTTTTTTAGAAAAAGAAGAAAACAAAGAATAAAAAATAAAAATATTGCTGCTCTATCCCAAACCCTCAGTCGATTTAGCAGCACTCCACGGCGAATCAGGCTATTTGTCAGTTGATGTATGTACTGAAGCCCCTAGCAGCAGGCTATTTCAGTATCATCATACTGCTCACGTAAATCAGCAGTATTAGATATATATAAATACATGTATAAATACACACACACACACACACACACACACACACACATATATATATATATATATATATATATATATATATATATATATATATATATATATATATATATATATATATATATATATATATATATATATATATGTATGTATATACATATATATATATATATATATATATATATATATATATATATATATATATATGTATATATATATATATATATATATATATATAAACGTAAACTTGAAATATGATTTTTAACCAATATAAAGCAAAAGATAGTCAAGCCAGTATCTGACTTGACTTGACTATCTTTTGATTTATATATATATATATATATATATATATATATATATATATATATATATATATATATATATAATTTAAACTACTTTTATATATATATATACTTAAACTACTTTTATATATATATATAAAAGTAGTATAATTTATACTACTTTTATATATATATATATATATATATATATATATATATATATATATATATATATATATATATATATATACATATATACACACACACAGATATATATATATATATATATATATATATATATATATATACATATATACACACACACAGATATATATATATATATATATATATATATATATATATATATATATATATATATATATATATATATATATATATATATATATATATATATATATATATATATAATTTAAACTACTTTTATTCAGATAAATTTTTTTTTATTTTGACAAAGATTTTTCCATAATCCTCTACCTGTTCTCTGTAACTTTGATTTTCTGTTATTTAGAGCCAAATTGGCCTCAGCGAGGATTAGGTTGCATTACAGGAACACATAAAATAAAAGTTATTAATGTTTCTTTAAGCATTTTTTGAATGGTTCAAAATAGTATAATAAATATAACCGAATAGAGAATGAGTAATATACTAGTAAAGTTTTGCTTTGGTTTAACTATTTGGTATAACTCTTACTTTGGTTCATTATTGTTGATTTTGAGCCTATGAATGTATATCGCCTTATTTCATAGAAATATACCTTATTGCTCTTCTGGGAACTGAGCCAATAATTATACATAACTTACATATACTATGACATGTCACATGTCAAGTATGTGTATAATATGAACAATCATTATAATCAACCATGTCACATGCATCGCAGCATATGTAAAAAATATAAATATAAACATTGGCTTCGCTACACACTTGGCGACCTGTAGACCAAACTCTTTTCGTTTTGTGGAAATCCAAATTTTTTCTGCAACCTCTGCAACCCTTAAAAAAAGTCGGTGGCCCTTAATCCTATTTTAGGCAAGATGGTCCTCTGGACTTAGTCTATCCTGTCTATCCATGTATTTTATGTCTACATATGTATTTTTTTTTTAATTTTTAATTTTCTTTTCTTTTTTTACATCTTAAGTGGATTTCCACAAAACGAAAATAATCACGTGAAGCGAATTTTTTCGTGGATAAGCATGCGAAGATTTCTGTCAAAATCTTAGACCATTAAAACTGATAGACACGGCGTTTTTTTTGTCAAAATCTTAGACCATTAAAACTAATAGACACGGCCAAAATTTTTCAGAGAATGTGACATCACTTTGTGGCAAAAACTAGAAAAAACAAACTAGTAATAAAATTTTATTTATATTTTTTTAGAAAATTCTTTTTATTTGAAATATATAGAATATATTTTTATGGGATATATTCTTATAAAGACTAAATATAGTAATTACTATGTCAATCATTTAAAACTATTTATTAATTACTATTGTTATAAATACAAACTCTTATCCGTGAAATAATATATCTTTACCAGTTTTAAATCATTTTGTGCAATTATATACACCCTAATGAAAGTTAATTAAGAAATATAAGATAAATGCAATAGCAATCTCGACCTAAAAATGTTTTTTTTGCCGCAAACTGACGTCACTAAGCAAAACTTTTTTCGGCTTCACTTTTAGATTATCAAGGCCGTGTCTATCAGTTTTAATGGTCTACTAGCAGTAAGCAACCCGTAATACGCGTTGTTAATAAATAAAATTAAAAAAAAAAAAAGCGCGTATAGAAAAGCCATGAAACTACTTTAAAATAGAAAAGCCTAGAAAATGACGTAACTCGACTAATAATAATAATATTAAATTAGCGTATTCATATTATCAGAAGGTCAAAATGAGCAGAAATGTTTTATCTGCGCATGCTTATGGACGTTTCGCGCGATTATTTTCGTCTTGCGGAAATCTGCCTTTAAGCCCTTCGCTGATAGAATCGTGGAAACGTTAAAACGTTTAAGTTAAAGACATTAAATTTTGAATGATAAATTAATATTGCACTCTAGATTTTTGGCGTTAATTTATTATTCTTTTTTTTTTACAACAAGCTTCGGTATACATTTTAATTAATCAGTGCTTACAAAATTATTGTTTATATAGTATAAATTTCCAGGAAACGAAAAAAAACCACACGCATTAATGCTACTGTACCATACACAGTGCCGCCGAGAGGAGGGAGGGGGGGTGAATGGGACAGTTTGCGTCGAGCGGCAGATATCCAAGGGGCGCCAATTGAAAAGAAGTGCGAAAAAAAAAAAAAAAAATTCGTCCTTAATCTTTAATGTAATATATTTACAACATATTTACAAATCATAAAGTAAGCTAATAATTGCGTTTTTTTAAAGTTCGTAATTTAAAAAATATATTGCTGGCTATTAAGTTATGTATTTAAAAAATGTATGCAAGTCAATCGTATTACTGGGCTACTAGAGACTTTTTTTTTTTTCATTTACATTATTTACTTGTCGTGTTTTACATGTAATATAAGCATATAAAATCTGGAAGAATATCATATCGATCTTATAAAAATTACAATATAAATATAATATAAAACAGTACAGGTAGTTTATAACAAAATAACAATCTATATAATAAGATTTTATAGCAGCAAACTTAATAGTATTGTTAAGCATTGCTAATGAAAAATGCCTAATTGTAACTCGGAGAAGACTAGAGAGTCTTATCGTGGAGTACCTTAATTTTTTAAAGTTTATACGGTCATTATTGTTAAATAATAACGAGTGATACATATAAATGTTTAATACATATCAATAAAATAGTTTAAATTGAGTGTAAGCTATTTTAACTTTTTTGTCAAAGTGACAGAATTATTTATTGCTTTGAGTTCTATATTTTGGATATTTTTTTTCCCCGGTATGAAATAGAGAATCGCGAAAAATGTTTTTATTGGTAGTGTAAACTTTCCTGTTTCTCTGTTTGTGTTAATTTAAAAAATATTATCTGAAAAATGTGACAGCACTAACTAATAAATCACAAACACCCCCACCTCCCTCCCCTATAGTTATTAGAGATTATGATAGAGAATTTTATGCTGATGATGATTTACATAAAAACATAGATTTTGAAAATAAAAGGAAAGTAATCTAACATGATGTTAAAATGTTTTAAAAAATACACCAAAAACGCTACATTTTAAAAATAAGACTTTCGTTTATAATTACGGAGGTTGATTACAAATATTAGGCATAGGAACACCTAAATAAAACTGCTTGGCAATCCTTGGGCTGGATTAGGATTCGGTGAAACCACCTATGATCGCTTGTATGGTAAAGATGCAAACACAATATTTAAAAAAACTATATTAGAACAAGAGCTAATTATCAACAAGAATGTCCACCCCACCCTGATTTTATTTTCTACAATTTTAATGCAAGAAATGTTCAATTCAATTATTATTATTTTTTAATCTATTCGATTTATATTAACATCATTAACACACTATGACGTCATCAAACACATCAATAAATATACTGAAGTATATTAATTAATTTTAACTATTCTTTGCAACGGTTCATATAATTATTTATCGAAACAGATCCAATTCAAAAGCGAATAAACATTTACAAAAAATCAATAAAAATAAATTCATTTAAAGCGTTTTGATTCCAGCGGTTCTCTACGACAAGACCTCAAGGACTTCTTCGAGTTTGTGCATTCTTTATTCCTAATTTTATTGTTATATTGTTATATTTCTATTGTTAACGAAATCTTTATTTAAATATTATTTATTTCTTTTTTATGTCTTACGTTTTATTCACATAAAGTTATAATAGAAATTGTAATAATGATTGTAATGAAGAATAAAAAAAAAAAAAAAAAATTTATAGCCTGGTTTTTATTTACTACCAAATTTATATCTTTATATATTGCAGATGAAATTTTAAGGACAACTGTCAAAATGTAATAATAAAAGAAGCTATTTTGATGCTATTTTATTTTACCCCATTAAATATGAAAATCTAAATATTACTTTTTCAAAAATGGATAAAATTGTATTAGTAAATCCTAAGAAATTAGGAGACAAATTTTCTATATTAATTGATGCAAATGTTTAAAAAAGTGTGTTTTTTGTGTTACAAATTTTAAATTCAAAACTTTGACAAAAGTCTTTTACGTTTAACTAGGTTTTGGAGAGAAAAAAGAGATGCTAGAGAAACCTTAAGGTACACAAGTTCTTAGACAAAAATAGAAAAGAAACTACACTTAGTATCACTGCTATGTTAGCAGATTACTGCTGTTCTCTGTGTGAGAATGCTGCAGAATTGACTTAAAAGAGAAATCTTTTAAAATCTCACAAAAGCACCACATGATTTTCTTTTCACCGAACTAACTCCCAGATATTTGCCTATTAATGTAGAATTATTAGTATTTAGCAGACAAAACATTTATGTTTCTTTTTCTATGATACATATTATTTATCTTTATATTTTTCTTTCTTAATGATAACTCCAAACATAAGTTAATTTAAGTAACTATTTGTGATATTTTTATTTGTTAAGTTTTAATTGTGTTGCGTCAAAACATTTAAACACTAAAATTGCTATTTAAATTAAAAAAAAAAGTGATACATAATATTAAAACTATAAGCTTATATTAATTATATAATTATATGTTATTATGATCATTTAAAAATTTTTACCTTTTAAACTTTACATGAAAGTAATGCGTAATTATCAAATAGTTGATACTTTTAATTTTAAGAATATTTATTATTCACCTTTTTAGGTAAAGAGCCGTTTGAATTAACAAGACTGAAAGCAACAAGACTCATTTGAAGTCTACTACACACGTTCGATGAATTAAAAAACCTAGTGATTGGTTGCTTAAAAAAAGCTATATTTTATTGGTTAATTATAGAAACGCATACTCTTGGTTTTAACAGGTAAATATATCGAGCGAAACGTTCTGTTTTTAGTTCATTGAGTATAAACATTGTCCACTTGCTTAACACTAACTTTTATATTGTATTTATTTTTATTTTTTATAAATGAATTTAATATTAAACTGTTGTGATTTCACATAACATTCGATTTTTATCCCAAAACCTTGTTTTTCTTTGCTAGTAAGATAAAATGTCCATTAAATTTAATGTACATTTGGTAACAGAACCCAATTAATTAAAGTTATTTTTTATAGAGTAGAAACGCTCTCACAAAATATTTTAATAAAATTTTTACAAGCTTGAATTTGACAGTCAGTAAATTGTTCACCTCATTTATATGACGCATGTTTTTTTTTTTAAATTAAATCTATTTATTATTTTTTTAAATTTAAGTCTATTCGGTGTCTTATTTACTGTTTTTACAAAAAAAAAAAAAAAAAAAAAAAATTAGTTTTAAATTATAGCAAAGTAAAAAAAAAAAAAAAAAAATCTTTCACTTGGATGAAAGGGTAAAATTGTAAAATAAATTACCTTAATGCTTTCTTAGGCCTCCATAATTGAGGTTTGAATGTTGCGAAAGTTTAAACACCGGCTATTAAAAATAAATAATATCAATTGCAAATTTTATCTCTGCAGATATAATACAAAAGTTGCGCAAAAAAAAATTTGTCCTACAGTTAATTCTCGATGAATCAAAGAAATTACTGAAGATCTCAACTTCTTTTTTCAACAAATTGTAATAACTGAGACATATGATTGTAACGTCATGGGTAAATGCAACGAAGCGTTACTAAAGAACGCGTTTGCTCTTCTCTGCTGTGCAAAATATATTTTATAAAATTGTTTAATGTGGAAAAGAAAATCAACATTTACTTAAGGGGTAAGAACTTTATATCGATGTTTTAAACGTTACAATTATAAAACTTTATAAACTATTATCCCAAAAAGACCTTCATTAAAATTAAATTGATTTATATATATATATATATATATATATAGGAACATTATCTGTGTCTAAGCTATATTTGAGTATTTGTTTACTTAACCATTACTTTATTTGGTCTAAACTGTAATTAACGGCATAAACAATAATAAAAGAAATAAAAATTAACTCAGTAGCTTTTTAACGGAGCGTTAATGGTAGTTATAGAGTGTGCTTAGATACATTTTGTGAGAGTAGATGTTACGTGTTGACATAAAATTTCATGTTTCTGCTTTTCCACAAGGCTATTATATATTAATACAGATATTTAAACTAGGCTCAAACAAAATTATCACACTTAAACGAAAAAACTTTAAACTTTTAATTAATGGAATACTAATATTGTGAAGTTATAAAACTTTGCAGCTTTAAGGATTGTAGGATACTTTCGTGTTTAGTGCTATTTTTATTTAGAATAGTAACAGTATTAGTTTAAAAATTAAATTTTGAAATATTTTTTATTTGCAGTTTATGTCAACCACCTATAACTTTGGATGATAAGGGGGTTGTTATAAAGTGAGGAAAAATATTATTTTAAAATAATTTTTGGATTTTTATTTTGTATTTTTATTTTGTATTTGAAATCTTATTAGAAAATATCACTAAAAATAATAGACTTTTTTTCACTCGTAATTATTATAATGTTATACTAAAGACTTTTAATTATTTGTTTGTACTCATAATAATTACCGTAAAAATCCCTAAATCCGGATGGTTTAGAACTTAAATCATCATAACTTGGTAGTTGATAGGGTCAAAAACCTATTCCGACGTTTGAACACTCTTTAATACAAACTATTTTTCAAACTTATTGCCAGCCCAAACCGAAACACTTAGTCGATGTATGTACACATGCTGCATCCTTAACACTCCATGTTCTACCTATTTAATCAGTTGATGTATGTACAGTCCCTGCCTGTTTTACATGTTTAAGTCAGTCTATGTGTGCATACTACCTAATTTTTATAATATATAAAGTTTTATAAAGAATATAACTTTTTATTAACAACAATCATAGACATTACGCATAAAACTAGAACTAAACACTTTAAAATATAACATAAAAGTACACACAAAAACGTATGTGCTCATAAGGAGTCGACCACGCGTCGCCGGGCGACAAGGCAAAATTGTTAATCACAAGACTCTACACTATATATATCCAAAATGTGGTAAATTATAAATATATACTTTGTTTTTTACGCTACGCAATTATTTAAATTTTCGGGTCATCAAAAAGACAAATCGAACGATATAAAAAAACTTTTATTTTGTAATTTAAATCTCTATTTTATTTTATTTTTAAAAAGCATTGCTTTTATCCGAAATTAGGTGTCTATGTCCCTAATTCCATATGGTATAAAATATAGAAAAACACACACAATTAATACTATCATTAAAATAGTTAATTTATTCATTTTAAAAAAGGAATTGTGAAATTAAAAAAAAAGATATTATTTTATTCACATTCGTTACAAATAAATTCAATAGTAGAACAATAATCAACGACACATGCAATACATGACTAATTATAACACTGCTCACATGCAAGCCATTGGTCATGTAAGCCATTCGCCAAATGACTTTTACAAGAATAACAAAGAAGATCATCAGATACTAAAATACTATTTTAAGCTTGAGTTAAATGTGGGTCTTCTGATTGATTATTTGTCTTTCGACCTTTTTTACCTAATGTTTTAGCCAACTGATTTTGTTTCATTTTTTTTTTCTTTAATTTTTTATGTATTTTCTGCTTTTTCAGAAGTAGTTGTAATCTTTTATTGCTCTCTAGTCTTTCTTTGCAGCTTGTTCATATAATTTTTTTTGTTTTGATACTTGTTCAACTTCATCGTAAGTTATGGCGTCCGCCGAAGTCATATTTACCTGGTTGCTTTATTCTCTCACCTTTTTGAACTCTTTTATTTAGAGTTGGTGTCAATTGATCTCGAAGCATATTTAATACTGATTTGTTTATATCTTTCCCCACTTGTTAAACGGTATTATTCAAAGTAGCAAAGCTTTTAAGCAAAAATTTACGATTTGACATTCTTGGCGATGTGTTAGGTGTATGGTTGCATTTCCCAAAACTAATGGACTACTGGTGAAGAATCAAGTAAATTTTCAATATTGATGTTTTCGAAAACAACTACTACTATTATAATAAACATTCTGGACACTGGCTTTGTACCAGTCTTTCATAATATGTTGGCCTTTATAAATTACTTGATGAGGTGAATAAATGCGTCACAACAAGTTAAGATTGTCATCATTCACTTTTTAGGATTTTTTTGTTCCTTTTCTACAAATAATTTCGACTTTGCCTTGATCAAATTGCAAACCAGACTCATCACAGTTGAATATTTGAAACTGATTATCTTTTAAATTATGTTCATTATATGCTGCTGCTAATTGCTCAAACTAATTGTCAATTACAGCTGTGTGGCAACAGCTCTAATAGTTTGCATGCCGCTTACTTTTCTTGGACAAATTTCTTTACGATATTTATTCAAAAGCCGAAGTGCCATTTTCTAGTCGATTCGCCGTCTTTAAATAAACTAGTTTGGTTTGATTCTTTCAAATAGTTTTCAACAACAATAAACACGTCTTCTCTATTCAAGCCTAAGCCTATATTACTCATAAATGTTAATAAATCAACAATAGCAGCTTCAGTGATGTTACTCATCTTTCTTGGTACTCCTCGGTCATTAGATGACTCTATTGTTCTGTCAAAAAGAGTAGATTTCACCTTATTATAACATTTAGCAGGTTGTAAATATGATTTTTTTTTTTATAGTAATAGCTTGAATAGCTAGCTGGATTCGACTCTCTTGTTTTTCTTTTTGTTTAAATTTATCCATATTCAGTATACATAGTATATATACAGTAAAACAATTAATACCTATGCATTAACTTTATGCACGTTAAATAATAAATATCTGTATCAGGATTTAAGTATCTATTTTTTTTTGCTGGTGGCTAATTTGTTTTTTATTTTTTTCTGGCACATAATAATAATTAACTTTATTTGGATTTAAGTGTCTATTTTTTTTGCTGGTAGCTAATTTGTTTTTAACTTTTCTCAATTAATTTAAATCGTAAATTAATTTTTATAAAACTCAGGTAATCAGCATAAAATTCTGGACAAAATAGTGTTTACTTTTTTTAATTTTTTCGTTGCAAATCCAAGTGATTTTTTTTTTTTTTTTGTTAATTTAGCTATGTTAGATTTCAAATTGAAATCTTTTATGATTGCATTATTTTATATAATTTTTTTTTATATTGTTCGATTTTGCCTGGTAAAGTTTATTACTTAAAAAAATATCTTTCAGCAAGTTAAGAAACTTTTTATTAAAGGCATTAGGCATTAGATTACTTCCGGAATTAATTTACGGTATAATGTGTATTTTTCATTTATTATTATTTTAAACTTAAAAAAAAAAGAGGATAAGTTGCAAGAGAATTAAAAAATATTAAAACATCTAAAAACTGATGTAATTTGTTGAAACTAGTTAAATTTGGAAAATTAACGTTTTTGAATTCATGCAAAAATATCTTTTTGCTGACAGATAACAGACGCTGCTGACTAAGTAACACTACTGATATCTGTGTTACATATGATCTGATTGACATAAAACTGTTTTATATCAGCTAAGTTGTCATGCAAATAAGCAAATAAAAAAAGCCAGAATAAGAAAAAATCAATTTTTTTATATATTGAGCACCGTGTTAGAGTTTCATTTTTTACGAAAAAAACATATACTATGAATTAAATAGATGTTTATAAGACTAAAAATAATGAAATAAGATCATAGCAATCAATAAATAATCTCATAAATAATTTTAAGAAAATGTGATGTGGGATATAGCCCAGTCAAATTTGGTTTTGGTCCGGAAAAAATTAGGAGTCTCTTGTCTCTAATATTTTGTTTGTGAGGTCAAGAAATTAATTTCCGACCTTTTTAGTTTATGAATAAACAAACTGGTTGTCAATATTCAAGATGGCAGTCAAAACGGTGTCAAAATTAAAATGTACAATATCTTGGCTTATTGATCAAATTGAAATATAATTTTTGTGTCTAGTATTATGTTTTTTATGTCAAGCAATTCATATTTCACAAATTAATTTTTGTGAAAAAAAAAATGGATGTCAATATATAAGATGGCTGCCCAATTTAAAACGTGAAAGTTTGTCTACCACTAAAAAAAATAATTTTTGACTGTAAATTGTTTATATTGGCTCTTCATCTGAACTATTGACATCTCCATTTGCACCATTATCATAGTGAGACCACCCCTAAAAATAATTGTTAAATAAGTATGATCAGGATTGCTTTCATCAATATTGACACAATATAAATATTCTTTACAACATGTACCAAAACGTTTTTTAAGTTTCTTTGCTATATAACCAGCAATATGAGCACCTACTTCCCTACTTTCTGGTGCAAGTGTCATGATTTCTGGAGTACACTGAGCTTCATCAATATCAAGAAGAAAGTTTTTCCAATCTGTTAAATTATTTTCTGACTCAGGCACTTTTAAACTATCATCGAAGTTAATACTTTCTTTAACTATACTTTTGATTTTTAATATTTTTTCAGAAATAGTGACATCTTTTAAACCTACCAAAAATCTTCCACCGCTCATTTGTCTATATTGTCCAAATCTCCTTTCTAATGGGTCACTTTGAAATCTCGCAGTTAAAACAAAGTGATATCCATCATTAAGCAAGTCCTCGATCAATGAGGCATGACTATTAAGTGTTCTTATTAGTGCTGCAGCTGTCTGAACACTTAAAGTAAACTTCTCACAGTTTGGTATCTTTTGTGATTGCAAAACTTCAATCCAATGTGCTATTTCCCGAAGAAATTCAGGTTTTTTATCACCAGAAACGACTGCATTACCTAAAATATTACATGCTGAATACTGACATTTAAAATTTGATAAAACCCACCACTTGTTAAATAATGTAAGAAAATCTGCACTACTTTTAAGATCTGGAAAATATGAGTGAATCACTGCTGATGTAGTTTCATCAAAAATTGCAAGTGCTAAAGAAACATTTTGTTTAAAATTGCCAGGATGTAACACTTTCATTGTTATTTTTGGTGCTTTACGCAAACCAGCATCAAGAGTGAGGTCTTTTTCATAAATATTGTGGAAGGTACTCCATTTAATTTCTCCCCCACATACAATTATAGGATCTTTAAATCCATTAAAGTTAAAATCTGGAAATAAAAATCTTTTGCAATTTAACAAATTATTTCTGATGTTTTTAATAAGATGTACAACATCAAAACAGAGGTAAATTTTTTTAGATTGTAAATAAAAAATAAATCTTCAGCTTGTTGATTCGATGCACAAAGGATTTTTTTAAAACAAGAAACATTAGCAGAATGGTTGTCACACACAATAACTCTAACATTAAATTCACATTCAGTTAAAATACGAAGACATTCAAAAATTTCTTCTTTCAACCATTCAGCATTGATTGTTTTTTTAAGGAGACGTTTTGATCACATATGGAATGTTTTGTTTCAGGCCAACTATCATAAAACAAACTATTCCCTTATACATTTCTCCAGACTCATCACTACCAATCATCTCTCCAGCAAAATACTCCTCACATTTTTGCAAGTACATTTCATCAAAAATCAAGCAAATGTCTTGAGATATCTTACCTTCTAATTTTAAACGTTTTGCACAACTTAGAGCATCAATATTTCCACTAGTTATTTTTTTAAGTAATGATAATGATGGTAAAGGCAATTCTTCACGCAAAAGTTGGTATGACTGCATAGAAGTATATCGTAATATCAGTGAATACCTTATAATATTGGCTGAATAAATAGGTTTTTTCATATATTTAATTTGCTGTAATTCAGTCAATACAGATGAAAATTGTTCGGCTTGTGATTTAATGTAGGTAGGAAAATTATGAAGCATACTTTTACAAGATCAACGACAATCTCTTCCTTGACAAAACCACTGAGGTAATGGCAGAGGTGAACCTCTGTAAAATAATTTAACATGCATCTCATTTTTTACACGAATGCACTCTGTAACCTCTGGAATAGATAAAGTACTATGACTCAATTTATAAAAAATTACATGATCATCATACTTCAAGAATAAAAAACCATCTGGAGCAAAACTTTCAGTAATATCGTTAAAGCTATTAATCAAATCATTCAATAAAAACTGTTCATATTGATCTGGCTGAAATATTCTTTTAGTTGGTGATTTTCTTAATGAATTAGAAGATTTTATAAGTTGTAATGAACCTTCTCCAGTCAAATTTGTGCAGTCAAAAATAGTTGAAATAGGCTTTAAATTTTTTATTAATCTAAAACGTTGATTCTTATTACCTTTCTTATAATATTTTTTTTCAAAATGTTTGATGCATATAACGGAAGAATTAGTAGGTGTCCAATCTTTTTTATTTACAAATTTAATCCAATATTTTTTTAACTTTTCATTTTTTGGAAACGAAAATACTACTGTAGATACTTCACCATAATTATGATAATTTGAACGACAACATTTGTTAACCATCTTTTTGAACTTCCAAAGCTGCTTTCTTAAAAACACTTTTCCAGAAAACTGGTCTTCTATTTTTTTCTTCAAAATGTAAAATATCCGGCCGTATAAATAAAGTAGGCCATGTTAGAGTGTAATATATCCAAAAGTATAAGAACATTTTACTAATTAAACTCATTTTTTCTAACTGGTTTAAGACTTATAAACCTTTTGAATTTAGATCATAAAATAACAGATAATACACGAATAACAAGCAAAACAAAAAACAAACATTTTTAAAAACATTTTTAGTAACTTAATGTGTCTTTCATATATGCTTTTTTATATGTTTTTTATCAAAGTTTATTATATAAAATAAAAAAAAACAAAAAAAAAAAACGCCATAATGTACAAATTGACTAACAGTATATACAGAATATATATTTAAACCATATTTATAAAGAAATAAAATAAATAGACAAACGTGATTACTCCTAGTCAAAGGATTCAGAAAAATTTTAATTCGTTGTCATTTATTAAAAGCTTTTGCTTAAGTTTGTTTTTAAAATGTTTAATAGAAGAAATAGTTTTTAACTCATTATTCAATAGCGTGTTCCATAGTTTAGGACCTCTGTTTGCAAGTGAAAAATTAGTAACATAGTAATAGGTTTTAGGTTGAACATAATTGTTTTCTGAAAATCGTGTTGGGTTTAGATGATTTATTTTTTTCAAAAATGAGTCAAATAAAATAGGTGATATTTTTTTTATTAACTTTGAACATAAAAATAAAAGTTTGATAAAGATTTAGTTGAAATACGTTGAGAATATCAAATTTAATGTATAGAGGTTTAGTGTGTGAGAAACATTTCGAATAATTCTTACAGCATGCTTTTGTTTAATTAATAGTTTATTTATTTTAGTTGCATTAGCGCTACACCAGGCAACGTTTGCATAACTTAGATAGCTATGAATAAATAAAAAATAAATGTATTTTGAACAGGTTTGATTTAATAACAGCTTAGCTTTGTAAATTAGACCAATATTTTTCGAAATTTAATTGTGAATTATATTTATGTGCTCCTTCCAACTCACATTTTCATCAAAAACAACACCAAGAAATAACAATAAACGCTCTCTTACTATACAAGAGTTATTTACAACTAAAGTTTGGAAGATTTAATATGATATATGATATAATATGATATATGATATAATATGATATATATGAAATAAAAGTTTGGAAGATTTAATATGATAAGTCTCTTTTCATAAAGACGATGGAAGAAAGTATATTTTGTTTTTTCTTATGTTTATGGATAACTTATTTGCTATAAACCATTTGCTTAGTTTTGCAAGCTCTTTGTTTACTGTTTCAAATAAAGAATTAATATCCTTATCAGAATAAAATAAGTTGATATTGTCAGATACCATAATTTTTAAATTTGTTCAGGAGAATATTATGATTTTTGATTTGTATATTCGTAAATGGCATACAAAAGCATAATTAAAGTGTCAAATTGAGGACCTAATATTACAATTATGTTGATAAAAAAGTATGGAAGACTTGCGTACTTCTTTGAACAAGTACTACTTTAGCAAAAAAAAAAAGAGATTTACCGCACAATAAGCATAACTCGTATGCTACGTCCAATTAATGGACGTTTTTACTCACTGTTAAATAATGGTCTAAAAATCAAAATTTACCGTAACATACGTACAAAATTTACCGTAACAAACATACAAAAAAAATATATATATATATAAAAGAAATTAAAGAAATGCACAATATAATTATAAAATATTTGTTTTAAGGTTAATTATGGCTAATTTTTAAAGTTATAATAAAATGAAATTAAGTTCAAGTGTGTTTGAGTATTGTAATATATATATATATATATATATATATATATATATATATATATATATATATATATATATATATATATATATATATATATATATATATATATATATATATATATATATATATATATATATATATATATATATATATATATATATATATATATATATATATATATATATATATATATATATATATATATATATATATATATATATATATATATATATATATATATATATGTATATATATATATATTTTATATATATATATATTTTATATATATATATACTATATATATATATATATATATATATATATATATATATATATATATATATATATATATATTTTATATATATATATATATTTTATATATATATATATATTTTATATATATATATACTATATATATATATATATATATATATATATATATATATATATATATATATATATATATATATATATATATATATATATATATATATATATATATATATATATATATATATATATATATATATATATATTATATATGTATAAATTTACAGAGGCAATTTTACGAAGGGTTGGGGTGGGGGTTGAAACACCACCCCTCCTCCATCACACACACACATTTTCAAGTAATAGTTTTTTTACGAATTTAATTGGCTAGTCGGGTATTTAACACTATTTAGTCGGGTAAATTTTTTTTTAACAGTCGGTACTTTCTAAAGATTCATCCCGCCTCCCTCCTCATTTTATTCGTAAAATCGCCTCTGTATAATTTGCTTCAAATTTAGTTTTCTTACGGATAGCATGGTATATTTTTTGTTAGTGCATTTTTTTTTAGTTTTTCTTCTTTTATGAAAGCAAATTTTTTTTATCATTTCTAGATTTTGTTTACCAAAAAATTTTTATTTGGGTTAAAAACAAGATGCCATGTGTTGTCGATCATTAATTACTATTTTTCTTGTAAGCAAATTGGTCTCATGTTTGGAAATAGGCGAGTCTACTGGCGAACGTGTTGAATGTGACCGTAGTAAAATTGATCATAATGTGACGTTATCTGGAGGTCATCAAGCAGGTTTGTTTTTAAAAGCAAACAAGTCAATTTCAACAATGAAAAGATGCATTAAACAGTGTTGCAACATGAACGGGTGTGATGTTGCTTATTTTAGCAACAATGCTTGCTATTCCGTTAAATGCCGTAGCTTAGAAGCATGCGCCCCAAAAAGTGTCGTTGAAAAAGGGATGAGTACAGAAATATCGTATGTTGCCAAACCAAAGGTTCTTTTTCAAGGTTAGAATCTTTCCAAAAAACTTTTTATTATTTTAAGGAGATAATATGTTCTTTGTCATGGAAAGTAGCAACAGACTTATTCAGTGATCATGATATTTTTCACTGCAAAAGAAAAATTTAAAAGTAACCATACGTTTTTGAAAAATTAAAACTAACTTACAATTAAAAAAAATTGAAAATTAAAAAAAAGTGCTTTTCAAGAAAATAATGTTTATTAAATTTCACCTATTATAAACTAATTATCATAGTCTATTTAGTTTTAATTTAAAAAACTTATTATCTTAAATTCATTTGTATTTGTATAGGTTCATCTTCTGATGAGACAGGTGAGCCTGCTATTGTGGAGAATCTCATTGCGGAAGTAGTTTCGGAGAGTCCGTTTCCACAAAATGAACCGACGTTTCTAAACGATGACAAAAAACTTGTTAATGTAAGAGTATATATGAAACATAAAAGCTTCTTCTCTTAGCTATAAAATAAAAACTTGTTTTTTTATTTGATTTAACCAAATAAAAATTTAAATAAAAAAAAATATATGTTTGTTGTAGACTAACATGGATGTAATACACTATCATAAAGAAACTTGGAAAGAAACTAAAAATATGATTGGTGCTGTTGTTTGTGCCTTTATTGCTGTGTTAGTAGGTGTATTGGGTGTTATAACAATGACAAGAAAGCTCGTTGAAGATGACGAAGAAGAAAATAAGGTTTTAAAAGAGAATTTTTACATGAAAAACACTTTAGAAGAAAATGTTGCGGCAGAACTTAAAGAAATACCTAAAAGTAGGAACACTTTTGTTAGAAAAATAGATAACAACCAAATTGAACATTCTTCTAAAATAGTCAGTAAAATTCCAGTTTATAAAAACAAGCCGTTAGTAGAAAATATTAATAAAAAGTTAGATTCAACACTACATGAACATGCACCTATGCACCCTAGCTAATTTTGTAAATAGTTAAATAATTTTTGATTTTGTATATAAATATTTTTATCAAATTTTGTGAAATTTTTTTATATTAAAAGATATAAAATAAATTAAAATTAATTTTATACTTTTTTTAAATAAACGCTCTAAAAATATTAATAATTTTTGACATAAAAAAAGTAATAATCAAAAAATAAACTATAAAACAAATAATTTAAACATTAGGCACCGACTTCTGTTCCCATCTTCTCGGTGGTTTAGTTTGATACTGTACGAAACGATTATCATTTTGCACGTGTTTGTTTTTACTACAAAATTTTTTTTTATTTTATAATCATTATTGGCTGCAGGATTTTTTGATATTTCATATATGACGCTTTCGCGCATTGTACAAACTCTAAATTTACGTATGTTTATGTCTATGCCAAATGAGAAGGCTTTTAAAAAAACTACCTATTGCAATGATGGAGGCCTGGGAACATAAATACCCCTAAACGTTTTGCCCCCAGGCCCAACATAAGGGCAGTGATGTAGTGAAAATTTTAAACTATTTTATTTCAAACTAAATTTATACTCATTGACAGGTTTTAGATTTTATTCAAAAATATTGTCAAATGCAAAAGTTACGACCATGCAAAATTTCCGACAGCCCAAAATGAGGATGTTTTAAATTCTACATGTTCATAACTTTTGTAATTAAAAATATTTTTGAGAGAAGTTTAAAATCTGTTGATGAGTTTAACTTTAGTATAAGATAGTAAAGTTGAACATCTTTCTACATCACTACCCTCACGTTTGGGCGGGAGGAAAAACGTTTTGAGGTATTTTTTCCTCAAGCATATTTGTTCATTTTGCCATGAACATAATTAAATTTATAGTTTGCATACTGCATGAAAGTGTTTTATCTAAAACATCAAAAAATCCTGCTCATGATATAATCTATATCTATATATCTATATCTATATATCTATATCTATATATCTATATATCTAAATCTATATATCTATATCTATATATCTATATATCTATATATTTATATCTATATATCTATATCTATATCTATATCTATATATCTATATCTATATATCTATATATCTATATCTATTTCTATATATCTATATCTATATATCTATATCTATATATCTATACATTTATATCTATTTCTATATATTTATATCTATATATCTTATCTATATTTATATATATATATATGTATATATATATATATATATATATATATATATATATATATATATATATATATATATATATATATTTCTATATATCTATATCTATATATCTATATATTTATATCTATTTCTATATATCTATATCTATATATCTATATCTACATATCTATATCTATATATCTATATATCTATATCTATATATCTATATATTTATATCTATATATCTATATATTTATATCTATTTCTATATATCTATATCTATCTATCTATCTATCTATCTATCTATATATATATATATATATATATATATATATATATATATATATATATATATATATATATATATATATATATACATATATATATATATATATATATATATAAATTTGCACATGCTACAATTTATATATATATAAATTGTAGCATGTGCAAACTCTTACAGAAGCAGCTTAAATTTCGATACAAAACACTAAGTTCTCTGTCTGTGTGCAGCTCATGCAATTTCATAGTGCCTGTATTAGCTTTTAATGTTTTGGAACATCTTGAGTCAAAAGATGTAATTTTGGATCCCTCAAAAAAGTAAAACTTTATTAATGAACCTTTAGTGTTAAGAAGATTCTATAAACTCTCTGCATCTGGATGGTCACAGCCCATATTAACCAATTGATCCGCCTTACGTTTCACAGATCCTCCATTCGCATCTAGTGCTCCCCTGCCATGTCCACTTTCAAAATAATTCCAACTAGCTAATTGAAATTTTAATTCGTATAGCACTGTTGAAAATAAGAAGAAGTTTTGCTTATTTCTATGTTGTGTCCATCAGAAAAAAAATGAAGATCTGTAATTTGTTAGTGTCTAACTTGAATTTAATTAGCACAGGTTCCAGATGTGCCCATATTAAAGGACGATTGTGTCTCAAAGAATCGGATATAGTTGGTAATGACCATCCATTTTATAATTTACTCCGGTATGCAATGTAGCTTGTTTGTTACTTGCTCCAAAATGTGAAGATAGAATTGTCATCACGTGTAAGAAACTGACTGATTAAATCCTATGTTTCAACATCAAGCAATGCATTACCGCAATGGCCCTCGCTGTTTGGAGTTGTACTTTTTGATGACAGAGAAGAGTTAGGGGTTTTAGGTGATTCGGTGGTTGTAGGTAATTTGCTTGCGAAACAAGCAGGGAGCATTTAAGTCTTAACCAACGTTTTTTGTATTTTTCGGCAATTAACTGTTTCCAACTCCTCCGTCAATGCATGTATTTGTCTGTAAGCCTTTGTTTTTCGGTAAGCAACCTTTACTCTACCTCTTTGTTTGACTCTTCGGTGACTCTGATGACAATGTTTCAATCCTCCTCCTTACAGCTCTAGATTTTGCTTTCAGGTCGTTCCAACGATGACGAACAATTCCTTTTTTTCTTTCTGATAACTCTGAAATCACTTCAACCTTCTTTTGCTTACATTGCAAACGTTGGCATATTATGCCGAGGTTTGCGTTCTTTTTCGCGAACTGTGTCTGCATTTTTTTCTAATTGTCTATCCCGAATTTCTGAATTTCAGCACGAGATTTCTTTGAAGTTTTCATGTTGTATGCCTAGGTGTATTTCTTTTGGAAAAATAGTATAATATTTGTAATTGTAATACACCAAATGTTTGTTTATTATTATTATTTAAGTGATTCAGGATATACATTTATTTTAAAAGCCAAACTTATTAGAGTCAAACATAAATATAAACCAAACAATAAATGAAATCCTAATACTAAAATACTTACAATTAAACAAATTACTCTATTTCTTACAATCGCTTGAAAGTAAAAGAACGATGCGTATATATATACGCTGCAAGGTAATCATATTTTATCGCTGCAGTTTTTCCCTAGTGGTTGACGTGATTATTCAATGCAGAAAATGACTTTAATTTAAATCTTTTGATTTGTTTTAAAATAAATCAAAAGATTATTTATCATACGATGATAAATATCACCGTGAAGTTAGTTCCGTTATGTTGTTGTCAACTTATTAGGAAGAAATCGCGGAGTTGACAGTAACGGAATAGACATATGTATACATAATCAATACTATCTCATTATTCCTACTTTGAAAACTTATTTAAAATCTTTTATTGTCCAATAGATTTAAAGAGTACTAAAACACGTCCAATAAAAATTTGATATGTTACGCAATAAAAAAGCGTAACGGAGTAGACTAGGAATAAGTATATCATTATTTTTTTTTTAAGTTGATTAAGGTGCCCCAAGAGGTCCTTACGGTTTGAACTTCCTATCAAATTTGAACTTCCTATCAAATGCTCTTCCGCGGTGCTCTTATCACAGAGCACCGCGGAAGAGCATTTGATAGGAAGTTCATGCCTCCTTCCCAACCGGTGTCGCAAAAGCCCAGAGGTGGGGTTTGAACCACCGATCTTACGTTTCTGAGGCAAGTGCGCTACCACTGCGCCACGGCTGCTCAATTATTAAAATCATTATTAAAATAAGGTATTTAAGATTTTTATATAAAAAATGCTTGCAGCACGATATAACTTTAAATGTAAATAAATTTCATAGAACTGGACTTTTTTCATTATTTTGATTTGTAAATAAGTAAAAACTACAAACCAGTGACTATTTTATAATATCATAACGTGTGGACAAAACATTTAGGGACAGCAATTTTTTGACAAGAGCTACAACAGGATAAAATGCAAATTATTAAATTACTTAAAATAACGTATATTGGAATGTCTAAAGCACGAAACTATAATTTATTAGCTTTAATACAAAATAAAAAAATATTGAGTATAACAATATAGTCCTAGATGCAGGATATCTACGGAGTGGACATTTGTATTAACAATTTTGCACACAAAGTTTTAAATTTTAGTTGAGAATATCAGATAAAATGCTAGTTTATATTAACCATAAGTATTACTACCCGCAGTGTTGTTTTTTATGTTAATTGTACAAGAATTGCGTCTTTATAGCTGTAGGACAAAATATCAGTAACGGAGTTGATGGAATGAGAAAATGACTCTAAAATGAATCCAAAAACGTTTGAATACGAAAATCTTTTCGAAAATATTTCATATAAGGTATTTAAAATAAATGATCAAACACTTTTAATAAACATGACCCAGACAACAGCTTTATTGATAACCTTTCAATAATGAATATGGAAACGCCTTATATGTTTCAGCATGAAATAAAAAAATATTTAAAAGAAGTTGAGCCTTATGAGGGTCTGTCTCATATACAACTTAATATAAGAAGTGCTAAAGCAAATTTTGAAAACCTTAACAATATTCTTAGAAGAAAGCAATTTCATTTTTTAATATTATTTGTTTAAGCGAAACATGGTTAACTGATGACGAATTTAACAAAAGCGTGCTTTTTCAATTAAATAATTATGAAGGAGTGCAATTTGTAAAGAAAATCAAAAAAAAAAAGAGGCGGGGGTGTTGTAATTTAAATTAAAAATAGATTTCGGTATAAGTTAAGAAACGATGTATGCATATCTGATTACGACAGGGAATTTGTTTCTATTGAAATCGTTATAAAAGCACCGTAATATCATGCTGTTATAAACCGCCACAGTCATCAACAGAAATATTTTCAAACCATTTTTTAAATATTATTTTGAAAAACTTCTAAGAAAAAAAAAGTTTATTTTTAGTATGAGATTTTTATCTTAACGCTCTAAACTATGACAATAATAAAGAAACACAAAACTTTTACAATGATATTTTCCGATATGGTGTAATTCCTTTTATAAATAGGCCAACTCGAATTACAAGAAATTAATTAACATTAATCGATAATATACTAACAAATTCTTTATTTGAAATCTTGCTAAAAAAAGGAGTAACTAAAATACCATTATCGGATCACTTTCCGATATTTATTTCAATAAAGACCTCAAACAAAATAAAAA